AATTCTGTTGCACTAAAGATCAACTTTAAGGCAAAAGGATCACAGTTAATGTGCTCATGGTGGGGACCATACTTCCCACTCTGTTTCTTAAGCATAGTATTAAGGTCCTGCATGGGAAGTTAGTGCACAGTGACTCATGTTGTTAATTTAACCATTAACACTCTTATGTGTGACATCAGTGACCGCCCAAGGCTCTTGACATGAGCTGCCTAGGCTCTGAAAGCCTTCTGAATCTAAAGACTCTGTCAAAATTCAAACAAGGCCATAAGCAAAGTGAAAGTTCTCTCCACCCCACAGAGAAAAGTACATCCTTCTTTGATGACCATTTCTTTCCACTGGAGTCTCACCCAGGGAGGTTCTCCATGCAGGGACAACTTTTCCCACAAGTGTCCTGGCTTTCCACACCTGACATGCTCTTGTGAGCCTTTTAGCCAGACCAGAAGACCAGGATGCCTTTAGGGCTAATTCTGAGGTCACAGAGTGTTACTTAGAGCAATTGCCATTCTATGAGTCTGCTGTATGGACTGCTTCATATATTGGAGCATTTACTCCTCTATAACACTATTAATTCTCTTGCTATGATCAGTTTAACAATTAGTCCCATCTATACGACCACTTTAAAACTTAATCCAATCCAATAGGATCATTTTAAAACTTAATCTAGGGCTGGCACCGCAGCTCACTAGACTAATACTCTGCTTGTGGCACTGGTACCCCTGGTTCTAGTCCCCATTGGGGTGCCAGATTCTGTCCCGGTTGCTCCTCTTCCAGTCCAGCTCTCTGCTATGGCCTGGGAAGGCAGTGGAGGATAGCCCAAGTGCTTGGGCCCTACACACATATGGGAGACCAGGAGGAAGCACCTGACTCCTGGCTTCAGATCAGCACAGTGAGCCTGCCATAGCAGCCATTTGGGGGGTGAACCAACAGAAGGAAGACCTTTCTCTCTGTCTCTCTCTCTCACTGTCTAACTCTGCCTGTCCAAAAAAAAAAAAAAACACAATCTAATCTGTATAATTATATTAAAACTTAAGATGTCACTTTCACTATCTAGCCCAAGGGGATTTGAGATCCCATGGTGAAGTAAATTTAGTTGTGAAGTTACAATTTAAGCTCTTATTTTGGCTATGCTATTATGTAGCGAATGTTAGCCACTCCTTTCATAAGATCTAAAAATCAAACTGTACGTCTTGGAGAATCCCTCAGCACAGAGTCCGTTTCCCATCTTAAAGGGAATAGAGAGAAATGAGGGAACAGTGATTACAACTATTAAATAACAGCTTATGAAAATATTCACTAGGATGTCCAATGCCTTTTATACATTTTAATACATATGTTTGGAAATATCTCTTAAATATCTAACACAGTGTAGCTTGCTTAACCAGCAAACTTGAGCACACACATATGAAGCATTTTGTTTCTTTCTACCAATAGATTTAAAACATCTTACAAAGAGATTTAGGTCACATGAATCAAATGTATCTTTGATTAATTTTAGCAGTTTAAATTTATGAGCAATCTTTCATTTATAGGCTAATTAAGACAGAGCTCTTACTAAATTTTCCTATGTAGGTGTACAATATATACACACATATAACACAACATACAAGACAGAACAATGAAGCAGTTTTGTTAATAGTTTCCTAAAATCTTTAGCTGTTTTTTTATTATCATCAACCATTTAGAATTACTTGCTGCTCTTAATAATCTAAATTAGCCAAACTTCTGTGAAGTTGGCTTTATCTGTTTACAGAACTGTCCCAGAGTATTGAACACAATAGAGGTCATGGAAAAAGAGGTCCTTTTAAACCTAAAATGATACATTTAAGCATAGAACCAACAATGTTTTAGTTTCATGAGCAGCAGATATGGTATATAAAACTGTGGATAACAAAAAATTTTAAGTAGGCATGTTTAAAATTATAAACCTATTAACCAATAAGAGGTGCTTGCTTACTCCATACAATATTTTTTTAAAAAGCACTTATAGGATTTTGTAAGAGAAATAACCCTTTTAGGCCTCTGGGCCTTTCTCATTAAAATAACCATCATATCTAGTAACACAAGATCATTAGACTTTAACCTTTAGACATTTGTATTGGTAGCATTTTATATTATCAAAATTTAAAATTTAGCACCACTTCATATCTTGATAGTACTTCTAATACAACCCAAATAGCCTGATGATTTGGTGTCTCTACAAGATGAGAGACATGTCCTTTGATATTTCCAGGTGCCTATCTGGAAATACCAAAGTCCAAAATTTTTGGAACTGAATTTTTGAATGCCTGCCAATAATGCCAAGAAGGCTCAAAATCCAAAATATCTGGTTGAAATAGGATCCCTTTACATCATGACATCATATAGACAAAATTTGATCATTGTTATAAGGTGATTATATGTGTTTCAGAATAAATATGTATTTTAAACAAATCATAACCCAAATAAGAACTCAGCTGTTTTAAACAATTAGAACCTAGCAGAGACATTAAGATAACATAATAGATTAACTTAACACAAAATCTGCATCTCTTTGGTTGTTCCAAAACTGATAAATAAAACCTTATATTTAAGAGCTTGTATATTGAATCAAATCCCATAACTTGGATGTTTTAACAGAGTCAGAACTAGGGAAGAGAGAATAGCTTACTGGAGCTGGCTAGAAAACTCAGCAGAGTCACCAATTAAACAAAGCTATCAAAAGGAGATGCTGCAGGTTTTAAAATAGATTTTTAGCAATATTTTGGAATATTTACTAACATATGCATTGTAAAGTCTACATTGCTGTAACAGAGGATCAGATTTTAGTTCTATGTCAAATAGATAAATAGACATATATTTTGAAATAACCCTCTAGGATTCCCCACATTAAGACAACACTTTTTAAAATACAGTAACATCAAATTTCAAGCCTAGTTATTTCCAAGTGGTGTTGAACTATTTTCATATGGACAATTTATGAAAACATGTTAGCAAGCCCAAGTGGCTTTTCTATATAGACACATTCATCTCATTAGCTTTACCCAATTTTACATTTAGCACTTACACCTAAATGACTTATGATGCTGATAGTATATTATATTGTATCTCTATCTGAACTTAAAATCAAAACTGCATTTATCTATAACTAGTAATAAATATTTATTGCTGTTTTCATCATTGATTAACCATTTCTATAGCACTGGAAACCTTTTAAAATATATATTGCAAAATAAGTTTGGCATGTTACAAAGCAATAATTTTGAAGGCAGCTGATACTGCTGGATTCAAAGAGAGAAATTTTCTTGGTATTCAGTTACAAGGCGGGGACAACCTGTGAGAGTAACTATAGGGTTAAATTGAAAAATCTTTCTCATCTGTGTCTGTATTTGGCAGCAGCAGGTTGGCATAGGAGCCTGAAGAGCCATGGGAGCCCAGGTTGGGGCTGATGGTAGTGCCCATTCCAGCAGGAACACCAGAGACAAGTTTTGGGGAACATGTCCATTTATTAACAGCTACAGATGCTTTTTAAAGAGCAGGGAGAAGGAGCGTAACTAACTCAGGGGAACACTGACTATAGGACAGAACTGATACTGATACCAATATGCCTCTCCACTCAGCTTTTCTGGGGGGCCTAAAGGGCCAGGACCACACCTGGGAGCAGTTTACCTGATTGGCAGAAGGTGAGGGTGGGGAGAAATGTGCCTGGGCTCAGGCTAACTGCTGGGATGACCCAGAGAGATCTATTTTCAATTGACTTTATACCACAGTGCTGGCCCCATTTGCCCATTTCTTAACTGGGTTGTTTGTTTTGCTGTTGTTTTCTCTTTAAATTTTCCCTGAGACTGCACTCCTTCCACTTTGCTAAAACTGTCTTCTACTAGAGTAAAGCAGCAAGCTCCCTCCCTACTCTGCCATCCAGAGTAATCACATTGCTTTTATGATACTCAAATTAACCAATATTTCTTGTATTTTTTAATTTAATAAGTCAGGCAGAAATGAAAGAATTTCATTGTGATCAAATAAGAGTGCATCAAACAATTAGACAAAAAGCTTACCATTGTGGGCTGGCATTGTGACATAACACATAACATTGTTACCTGCAACACTGGCATAACACATGGGTGCTGGTTTGTGTCCTGGCTGTTCCACTTCAGATAGATCCCTGCTGATAGACTGAGAAAAGCAAAATCTTCTGAATAGTACAGATGAAATCAGAGGAAAAATGACCCCACTACATGAGAGGCCTGAACAATGCTTCCTTTGCAGTTATGTGCTCCAGTAGATGCTATGAGAAGGCAGTGTGGCCTTCATGCCCTGTGGGTCACACATTTTCTGCAGGCTGAAGAGAGCTAACTTATATTTGGTACCTTCTATGTGCAAAGAAGTTCAGACATCTCTTACTTGCCACTTTACCTAATTAGCTTCACCTGGAGCTCTGCGCTCTCCTGTCTTGGTTGCCTGGATACCCAACACATTCTGTGTCTACCTCCATCTTTGGGGACATATGAGCACATGGGAGGGTGAACACCTTCTGTGTAGCATGAAAGTAGCCATGGATGCACATGGGCATGTGTGAGCACCTTTGTGTACCAGGCACACATTGATGCATGTAATTTCTATGTGTAAACACATTTTTACCAGGCACATGTCTGTGTATTTACGTGTACACAGGAGTACCTTCTGTGTACCAGGCACACATCCATGAATGCACATGTGCTTGTGTGAACACCTTTGTGTACCACACATCTGTGCATGTACATGTCTGTGTGCCAATACATTTGTGTACCATTCACATGTCTGCATGCACACACATGTATGTGTGTGTGTATGTTAGCACCTTTGTGTACTAGGCACATATCCATGCATGCACATGTGCTTTTGTGAACACTTCCATGTACCAGGCACACATCTATGCATATAGGTTTGCCTATATGAATCCCTATGTGTGCCAAGTGTCTTTACATGCAGCAGCCTCCCACACTCCCTCTGAGGGTGATACTACTATTTTTTCCACTTTTTAGATGAGCAAAAAGAAGAGGGTAAACCATCTTGACTAAGATACCTCAGCTGCAGTGAAGAACCCAACACTTCATTGTCCAAGCACTTAAGCCCAAGTACTTGAGTCCCAGTGTAGACCACTCCACTCACATAGTAAGTGACATATCAAATAGTCCTTGCCCCCAACTCATCTGTATCCCCAGCACTGATCCCTAAACTCTCAGGAAAGGATTCCCTCTTGTTGACTAAGTCACTCCCATCAGTGACAAATATTTGTCAAAATGAGAAATAAATTGACAAATTTTCTCTTCAGCCATTTTGTTCAGTTCACCAAAGTTTGGTTACTGCCTCACTTCACTCAAGAAATCTCTGGTCCAACAATCTCTCTGTCCAAATGAGAGCTTCACCAATGTGCTGATTTCCCAAGCTGCCTGCAGCATCAGACCTCACCCTCCTGCCTATTCAGGCTCTTTTTGCTCTTGACTTTTACTGTTGCCAGTCTCTTCTCACCACATAAGGTCAAGAGGCTGTATCCTAACACAAGACCATAAAGCACAGATTCTGAACTTTCTCCCACTGTCCACGGACCACACTTCTTAAAACCTAAACTTCTTTCATGATACCCCTCTCTTCTCATTATAAACAAGAATCTTAAGTCCAAATTCTTGGCTCTGAATCCTAGCCACCTTCACTCAGTCCCACTCACTTTCCTTCCAAACATCCTTCCCCCAGCTTAGCTGTCACTGCCCCAGCTCCACACTTGGCTGTGCCCTGGACAATGCTACTGCCTCTCTGACTTCTGCTAGCATCCAACACAGGCCTCCACTCCCTTAAACCATTCCCTACAAGGGATTTCTCATGTATCTCAGATCTTGTACTCACACTTTTGCACATGAATTTACTTCTTAGAAAGTATTATTTAATAAATTCAGTTGCTTTCTAAAGTAATTGAGATCATTCTGAGTTTTATTATCTTTGTGTAAACTTGCATATAATTGTTATTGCCATTTTGTGGCATTTAATGTAGTTTTAAGATAATAACTTCACAATGCATATTTGCAATTCAAAATTTAGGAGGAAGGCATTGTCATATTCACTTTTTACATAAGACACATGAGCTCATGGGGTCTGCGCTATGGTGCAATAGGTTACATGAGCTCATGGGGTCTGCGCTATGGTACAATAGGTTAATCCTCTGCCTGCAGTGCTGGTGTCCCATATGGGCACTGGTTCTAGTCCTGGCTGCTCTTCTTCCAATACAGCTCTCTGCTGTGGCCTGGGAAATCAGTAGAAGATGGTCCAAGTTCTTGAGCCCCTGCACCTACGTGGGAGACTGGGAAGAAGCACCTGGCTCCTGGCTTGGATTTGCACAGTTCTGGCCATTGTGGCCATTTGGGGAGTGAACCAATGGAAGGAAGACCTTTCTCTCTGTTTCTTCATCTCACTGTCTATAATTCTACCTCTGAAAGTAAATAAATAAAATCTTTAAAACTAGACACATGAGCTCTCAAAGAGGTTAAGTTACTATCCAAGATCACACAGCTAGTAGATTGTAGACCCAGGAATTGAACATCAAAGGCTGTGTTAAGATGGAAGTTTATAGCAACCAGTGGCTACATCAACAAACTTGAAAGACATCAAATAAATGATCTAAGGATGTATCTCAAGGACCCAGAAAAACAAGAACACACCAAACCTATACTTGGAGGAAAGAAATAATTAAAATTAGAGAAGAAATAAACAAAATTGAGGCAAAAAAATATAGAAAAGATCAGTGAAATGAAGAGCTGCTTTTTGGAAAAAATAAAAAATATACACCATTGGCCCAACTAACCCAAGAAAAGGAAGAAAACCCATATTGAAAATTGGAGATGAAAAAGGATTATAATGAATATCACATATAAAAAAAAAGAATCATCAGAGCCAGCATGTGGCGTAGCAGGTAAAGCTGCCACCTGCAGTGCCGGCATTGACATGGGTGCTGGTAAGAGAATGATAAAATAATATCACTTATGAACATAGATGCAAAAATTCTCAACAAAATACTAGATAATCGACACATCAGAAAGATCACTCACCCAGACAAACTGGGATTTATCTCTGGTATGTAGGGATGGTTGAACATACACAAATCAATAACTGTAGTACATCACATTAACAAATTGAAGAATCAAGGCTATATGATTATCTCAGTAGATGCAGAGAAAGCATTTGATAAAATACAACATCCCCCAAAAAACTGGAAGTTATATGAGGGCAGAAGCCATTTTCTCCCTTTCATGTCTTACATCATCCCTCACTCCATCCCAACCTCAATGGTGGTAGTTCAATATATATGTTCTCTAGTATGTACCATAGCAAGTAAATTAAATGTGTTCCTAAAACTTATCGAGATTTTCCTGCATGCTAGCCTCTATTTTAAGCACTTTAGAAAGATTAACTCCGCTATTTCTCACATAAATCTTAAGAATTATAGAATTTTATTACCCACATTTTACACATGAGAAAACAGATTCATTAAGTAAGCCTGTTAAGGAAAAGGAAACTGGCAGAGCCAGAATAAAATCCCAGGTGGTTGAGTCCATGTTCCATGCTACTACTCAACATTGGCTCCGAAGGGGCCTATTTACTGAGCTTTGTAACTGTGTGGCCAGGTTCTAATAACCTGAATTCTGTTTTGGAAGAGCTCAGTTCTTTGTTTCAGCTGAAGTTTTTGTAATTTATTCTTTCCCACAAATATAGAGCATAATCAAGCCATCTGCAAATGTAAGAAATGTGCAGCTCTGGCAACACAGAAATTCAGTTCCTTGGGGTTGCATTCCCATGGGCGTCAGTGAGGCTGGCAGGAAAGCTGTCCAACCCCAGGATGGCAAAGTGTGGGCTGCCACAAATGAACTGCAGCTCTGCATCTCATTGTTTATTCTCTTCTGATCTCCCTCATCTATCTCTGCCCCTCCTTGCCAATATGAATCAGGAATTGTCATTTCTCTGAAGCAGCAATGCTTAACATACTGTGAGGCCTTCACTGGGATTTAAAATTGGGAATGTATACCATTTTGGAAATCTGGAACGCACATAATAGGAAGCTAAAAATGCAGCTGGGAAGGAGGCAGAGGGTGAGTGTCCTCAGCAGCTGCTCTGAACCCTGACTGCACATTGGAATCACATGGAACACAATTATAAAAATACTATGCCTAGTTCCCACCCCCAGAGACTCTGACCAGATTGAACTCGGGTTTACCCTGGAGATCAATGTGTTTTAAAAGCTTCCTAGATGATTCTAACATTCACCAGGGCTGAGAATGTCTGATCTAGGGCATTACTGTTGTGGTCAATGTTCATTCACAGATGTCTTTCTTCAAAGGTGAGCAGAATCCATGTTATGAATCACCAAGTTCAATTTGTATACATCACTGCAATCTCAGAGACATTGTGTGTGCTTTGTTCTAAGCCTGGTGTGCCCAGAGGAATCATTCATTTCTGGAAGTATTGTAATCTAGAATCCAAATTCCAGCCCACCTGTTTGTCTGAATGTGTGTCTCCCTTTATTGATGAATCTCGGATACCTGGCCCAGGCAACCATCATGGAAGCAATGTCTTCTTTTTAAGCAAGCACATGCTAGAGTAGGTCAGATCTGGCCAGCACTCACTACAGGACAGTTCCCCTCTCTGAGCCTACAAAGAGAAGGAAGTAGGAGACTTTGAGCATTTTATGTCAACCTAAATGTAAGCTTCCCTAGGGATGTGCTGGACCTGGTTATTACTGAGTCATTAGAGTTAATTGTGTGTATTTTCCTCTCCTCTTCAGTTTCAGTGCTTTTGTGTTGGCAGTAGGTATATATATACCAGAGAAATATGCAATAGCTTCTTTTTTTCTTCTGGGAGTCTGATTGTTAAACATGAACATGCCACTGAATTTACCCAGAAATAGCTCTCTAAAGAGAAGTGAAATGTAGGCAGTGATTTCTGGCCTTCAGTCTCCATGTTGCACCTGTTTCTGCAATGTGCTCACCACCTTTTCTCCAAAGACATCCAGGAATTATCAAGTTTCTTTGCACATCACACATATATGTAATCATATCAAAATTATCTGAATATTTATTTAGAATAAAGTATAAAAGTCTTAGAATGACTCAAAATGTGACATTATCAGGAAAATGTGCATTTTGACAAGGCTTACACATTTAAATAAAATGATTGAGTCTCACAAGGAAATATGAGACATCAATCAATGTATACAGTGAATTTGGGAAGAGGCTCTAAGGCCTTCCCAGCATCCATGCAACTGCCTAAGTGGGAAATTGTCACCTCTGCCAAGTGTGTAAGACAACCCTATTTATTCTCCAACATGAGTCAAGCCACTTTGCCTTCCTTCTGTGCGTCAGAATGCTTCTCTACAACCATTCTGTCAGCTACCTTGAACTTCACTATTCTTGTGTCATCACAACAAGCTGTTGAGGACATAGACCAAAATGGGAAGAGCTGAAGTTCAAACCCTGCAGTTCTAATGAAATTGGTACTGTGGATTCTATTAGTCATGATATCTGGCTGGCATCAGTGTTACTACTTCAAAGCCATGGTCCTTCAACCCATGGAACTGAACATGTCTTGGGATTCCTCCCACTTCCTTCTCCCAGGATAACAGTAACAACTACTGGCAGTCAATTATGAACCAAGCACTGTTCTATCTCCTTTACATATATCTTATTTAATTTTCCCCCAAATTCTAATTATTCCCATCTTACATATGTAGAAAATAAGGCATAGGTTAATTAAGTAATGAGCTCAATTAAAAGCTGAAAACTACAGAGGGAATTTGGGTTTTTGAATATGGTTGTCTGACTCCAGAGCCCATTCTCTCAGCTATCCAATCACACAAACTCATATATTGATATTTAATTATAGTGCTTGTAGTCTGTTGTTTTAGGTATCATACACTACTTGGTACAGAGTGACATATCTGAAGACCTTGTCAAATTCCTTTTTAAATATTTGTTTTATTTATTTGAAAGGCAAAGAGAGATGGAGAGATAGAGATCTTTCATTCACAGATTCACTCCCCAAAGGCCAGGGCTGGGCAAGACTGAAGCCAGGATTCACGAGTTTCTTCCAGGTCTCCCACATGGGTGCAGGGGACCAAAGTCTTTCACATGGGTGCTGCTTTTTTAGGTGCATTAGCAGAAAGATTGGAACTGGAGCAGCTGGGATTTGAATCATTGGTCATATGGGATGCTGACATTGCAGGTGGCAGCTTAACCCATTAGGTCACAATGCTGATCCCTTCTCATCTTCTGACATGCTGTCAGCATCTCTGCAGGGCAACTTCCTTTCCTGGTGAAGGTGGATGGGATACGAGAGCTCAATTTTTTCATTTTGTTGATGCATGGAATATTTGTGCACACTGTTTTTTTTTTCCTAGAAATGAATTTAATGACAACACAACATATGAAAACCTATGGGATACAGCAAAAGCAGTGTTTAAGTTTAGAGCAATTAGCACCTGCATCAAGAAATTGAAAAGGCATCAAATAAATGATCCAACAGTGTACCTCAAAGATCTAGAAAAATAAGAACAAACCAAACCCTAATTAATAGAAAAAAGAAATAATTAAAACTAGAGAAGAAACAAAATTGACACAAAAATTAATAAAATGAAGAGCTGGATTTTTTAAAAAATAAGCAAACTAACTAGAAAATAAAGGGAGAATACTTAAGTATTTTTTAGAGTTATTTATTTTAAATTTTAAATTGTGACACAAAGAGAGCATGCTCCCATCCATTGGTTCACTACACTCCTGAAATCCCCACAATAGCCAGAAGGCCAAAAGTGGGAACTCAATCCAGGTCTCCCACATAAGTGGCAGCAACTTGACAACTGGCCTGCTGTCTCCCAGGGAGACAGGAAGCTGGAGTTGGGAGCTGGGAGTCAAACCCAGGCACTCTAATGTGGGAAGCTAATTTTCTAAGTGCAATGCCAAACACTCCTATTTAATTTAGAGTAACATATGCCTAGGGATGATAAAGAGTAGACTAGGAAATGTAGCACTCCACATTTAACATGCAACTATTAAATCACTTACAGTCCCCATCACCTTTCTGAGAAATGGTGGTAGTAATGGATGTCTTACCTAGCTTGGGCAAAGCAATATAAGAGATCACCTTCAAAACAAAAAGGTAAATTTATAAAATTACTATGCTGATTTTGGGGACAGATTATGTGTGACTTGTGTATTTCTAAAGCAGAGAGATTAGTTAGCCCAATTAATAATTACTCAAATAGGGAGACAGTTACCTGGATACTCTATTGTGCTATGCTGATCAAAAAAAGGTTCACATTTCCTTGGTTTTCCTCTTATCATTTCTAATCTAGTGTGATGAAAAAGTCAGTGGTTTCTTTTTGCCTATATTAAAGATGACAAGTGTTTGATTCTACCAGAATTAATTTGCAACTAAAAGGAAACATTTCTTGGAACCTTTCATTGTTACAGTTTAAACTTTCTTTTAAAACATAACTTTCTATAAGTTAAAATTAGCATCTTCATAGATACTAGCCAAGTCACTTAATCAAATATTAATATCAAAACATGATATGAGGAAGTTGGAAATTTATTTATGTTTCTTATTTTGCTGTAGAGCTGCTGCTTCACTGCATAAAACAGCACCAGCAAATGCAGTATATTGCAAAAATTACGATACTATTGTTCTTTCTCTGGCACTGTACAACTAACAAAAACTGTTGTGTATTCCCAGTTACTTCCAATGGAAAGATCGTTACATATTTTGACCCCAATCCAGGGGTGAGTGTAAGTAAGTTACAATATTATATAAGGCTTAAGATAACAATGTTATCCTTGAATTACATTATTTGTAAAACTAGCTTTTACCACAGATAACTTCATGTATTCTGAATACCAGTGCCTA